ACGCTGTGTGATTCCAGTTGTGTGAACTGTCTAGAGGAGGCGAATACTGTCCACTTGTATGAACTGTCTAGAGGAGGTGAATACTGTGTGATTCCACTTATATGAAGTGTCTAGAGCAGGTGAATACTGTGTGATTCCACTTGTATGAACTACCAAGAGTAGGTGAATACTATGTGATTCTACTTGTATGAACTGTCTAGAGCAGGCAAATGTGGAGACAGAGAGTAGATGAGTGGTTACCAGGGGCTGGGACAGGGGTTACTGGGGAGGCATTGCTTTGGGGGTGCTAAGTTTCTCTTTGGGATAATGGAAAAGTCCTGCAAGTGGAATGCGGTGATGGTCACACAACATGGTCAATGTGATTTAATGCTACCAAATTAAAATGGCAAATTTTATAAAATAAAATTTCTTTAAAAAGCACCGGGAACTACTACATGTGAGCACTTTGTAGGCCTGCTAAGCTGGGACATGCAGGTCACAGACCTCCCCGCAGCCCTGAGAGGCCTTCCTCTTCTAGACAAGCATTTACCGTCTGTGGTGGGCATGTCGTCTGGGTAGTTCCTCCTGGAGAGGCTGGGCTCCTGCTGTGTGAAAACTCTGAGAGCTGAGATATCTTCTACGGTGGCTCCTTACTTATCCCCTTAGAGCCTCACTGCCCCAGGACAGTACCTCAGGGAGGGCAGCCCTTGGCTTTTCCTTGACGCCTTGAGAGCCTCCAGCACTGCTGTCTTCTGAGAGAGCCTCAGAAATCAGAGGCAGTAAAGGGCAAAGCAGACTTCACAAACTCCAGAAGAAGGAAAATGCGGGTTACAGCTTAGAAAAATTCCGCTAAAATGACCACGATGAAAGGCTTCCTGAAAGGCATCGTTTTCCTGGAAAATCCCTCATGAAGAATCCAAGGCTATGCCAGAGAAGCAGTGGTGGTGCCCGGGGGGTAAACCCACTGAGGAGATGAAGCTCCTGAAGTACAAAATGACTCCTCATCTCCAAGCCATTGCTGTATCATGTCTCTGAACCAACTGGTGGCCGTGGAGTCAACTCCTGCTCATGGTGGCCCCATGTGTGTTAGAGTAGAACTGTGCTTCATGGAGTTTTCATGGCGGATTTTTCAGAAGTAGATTGCTAGGCTTTTCTTCCGAGGCACCTCTGGGTGAACTAGAAGCTCAACCTTTCGGATAGTAGCCTAGCGTGTTAACCTTTGCACTACCCAGGGACTCCACTTGCAGCAAAAGTGCCATTAATTGGAGTCAAGCTGCCTGAAACCCTTAATTAATTAGGATAATTTAACTATGCCTGATTTTTAGGGGGAAGAACTAATTGCATGAAATCAGAGATTTACCCAACACACCAATACCAGATACTTTCTCTAATGCCTCTGCTGCTCTTATCTCCATGGATAGACTCCCCGATCTCTGCCCAGGACCTGTTGTCCCGGATTAAGCAGGAGGACCACCAGTGTGTGTGGGACCAGCAGGATTTGGTGGAGAGAGATATCCCAACGGACCCCAATTCAGGTGAGAGAGAGGCTGGAAGACAGCCAGCACCTCAGCCAACTTTCGAGCTGCTGGGAAACCCATCAGATTAAGTTGCTTTTGGTCAAAGGCCAAGAAAGGCTCACAAAGTAAAATACAGCATGATCCTCAGTTACCAATGGGGCAGATTTTGGAATGTGACCACTTGTAAATGGAGAGGGCTTTTCAAAAGGGATCACTAAATTGATAATTTATTGTGTCAGGGTCACAGATACTAACTTACTTCAGCACTGAGTTTTAGACAAAAAAAAAAACTGAAGATGCTTCTAGAAGTTGTGTATATTTCTGTGTCAGAGAGAAATGAACTTACATTTTCTGGAATTTCTCCGGAGTGAATACCAGGAAGATGTCACACAAGAAATGGGTGGGGAGGGTCCAGGTGTATTGGGGTGCTAGAAGAGCAGTGTGGGAGCCCCATCCCCAGGGCCTGTGTGCGCTCGTGTGCATTTGCCAAGCTGGTTCAGTAGCGGGGTTGCCCGCATGCCAGGATGAGAAGATCAGAAATGAGACCCAAAATTCCTGTGATTCCTCAATTTTGCAACTTTTCAGCAAGGAAACTGAGGGGATGCAAGGCAGAGGGGCAGGCAGAGGCTTGCTGGTGAGGAGGCCTGAGTCTTCCTGCAGCTCTCACGAATGCCCTGAGCGACTGCTTCTGCCTTTGCTCACTTTTAACCCCATGCTGCCAGGAACCAGGTTCCTCTGGCCTGTCATGGCCCGGTTTTGCCACATTTCTGGGCCTTGTTAAATGTCTGCACTTCACGCGAGGCCCCACTTATGAAGGTATTTTATGGGCTTGCAGTTCTGCCAGGAAAGGAAACACAGATCCCAGAACTGGCCCCACTCTGCCCATCCAAGCAGTAACCTTTGCATGAACTGGTCTTCGGATCTTTGATGAGTGTTCAGCAGAACAACAAACCCTAAGACTGCCTTTTTCCGTGACAACAGAGTCTCTGCTTTCAGCACATGACATTCTGTCATGGATCAAGCAGGAGGAGCAGCCGTTCCCATGGGGCCCTCGCGACACAGTGGAGGGAGAGCTTGGGTTAGACTCCAGCACTGGTGAGTGATGCCCCCTGAGGCCCCAGGTGTTTGGGATGGAACGGCTGAGGCCTGGGACCGGGCTGGGAGTCTCATCTCAGCCTGCCCCACCTAGAGTCTTATCTGTCGATGGCAGCCTTTCAAAGGTCTATGCTCTGGACTGTCCCCTCTGGGAGTGTGGCCAGGGAAGGAGAGGGCAGGTGAGCGCAGAGCCAGTGCCTGGCGGGAAGTTGGCCTGCGCATCTGGCCAACAACTTGCAACTCGACAAAGAAGCCCCTCTGCTACTAACTCTGGACCTCACGTTGGCCTTAGGAAAGGAGCCGGGGTTGGTGGCAGGTGGCTCCTGTGGTAGAGGACACCGATCCGAGTACCCAAGTCAGCCCTGAAGATTCTGCAGCTCAGACGGGGAGAGGGGCCTGGGACCAAACATCACACCAGACTTGGGTCTCTTGGTCTATTTTGAAGCTCCACTTATTGACATATGAGCTCAAGGAATGTGCCTGTGGGTAGCAGCAGGCTAATATGCCTTGCGTCACACACGTTAGCTCTGGGTGACTGAATTTTTTCCATCTTGTACCGTCGGTGAGCAGGGACTTAAAGCACTCACTAATACGGAAATTCAAGAATCCTTTTTGGTGAAATGTCCAGTTAGTGTGAACTCTGGCTTTTGAGTCAAACAGGACACAGGCTCTCTCTCCTGGGCATATGCCAGGGCAGGGGAAAGGGGCTGGCCTGGACAGGTGCCATTTTTGCATTTCCTTCTCTACCCCACTACTTCTCCCTCCTGACCTGTGCCAAGAACACTCTTTAAATAAGACCATCACACCTTACCACTGGCTCACCTGGGTGTCTGTGGCAACCACAGTACTAGATCGGTTTTAAAAATCATAGAAACCACAGATAAGACACTAGTTTCCCATCCAACGTTCACAAATGGAAGGAGGCTCAGTTTGGGAGAGAGAACAAGAGGACCTGCTAAGAGGTTTTCGTGACTGGGCAGGCAGAAGAAACATTTACAGATACCCCTGTCTCCCAAATTCTGGATATTTCCTCCCAAATGCTAAGGATCAAATAACACTTTGGGGTCCAGTGGTGTTTCTTTTTTACTAACCCAAACTTTTTATTTTATTTTATTATTTTTTCCCGTACAGAAATTTATACATACACTGTTATGTGACTCTAATTGCTCTCCCCATACTGTGACAGCACACTCCTCCTTTCCACCCCTGATTCCCCATGTCCATTCAACCAGCTCCTAACCCTCTCTGCTTTCCCATCTCACCTCCAGACAGAAGCTGCCCGTTTAGTCTCTTGTATCTACTTGAGTTAAGGGGCACACTCCTCACGAGTATCACTTTATGTCCCACATCCAGTCCAATCCCTGTCTGAAGAGCTGGCCTCAGAAATTGTTTTAATTTTGGGCTGATAGAGAATCCAGGGGCGATGCTTTCAGGGGTTCCAGTGGTGTTTCTGGCGTGAGTGGTGGTCAGGAGCCTGGGACGGCCACCCACACAGATGCCAAAACCCACAGACTATGGTGTGAAGGCAGCCTCCCGCATTACTCACGGCCTTGAGTTAACAGTGGTCCTGGTCTTAACAAACGTTTGCTGAGTGCCTGCTGTGTGCTGTACAGTCTTATAGGCCCTTGGAGTAAACAGCGAATAAGGACAAGGCCGCTGTTCTCAGGGCGTTACATTTTGTGGGAAGGAAATGGACAATAAACTCAAGTCAAATGGTGGTGTCTTCATTTCCTCGGGCTGCCAAAACAAAAGACCACTAAGTGGGTGGTTTAAACGAGCAGGAAGGTATTATCTCTCAGTTCTGGAGGCTAGAAGTCTGAATCCAGAGTGTTGGCAGGGCCATGGTCTGTTTAGGCTTTAGGCAGTGATCCTTTCTTGTCTCTTTCAGCTTCTGGTAGCCCCAGACGTTTCTTGGTTTTCCTTGGCTTGTAGACTGCATATAATTTGGTCTTTTTTCTTTTAATACCCATTCTGCCAATCTCTGCCTTTTTGATTGGAGAGTTTAATCCATTTAATATTTCAAGTTATTACTGATAAGAACTTCTTGCATTGTTCTGTGTGTCTTATACATTTTTTGTCCCTCATTTTCTCCTTTATTGCCTTCTTTTCTGTTTAGTTAATCTTTTGTAGTGAACTATTTTGATTCTCTTCTCATTTGCTTTTGTGTATATTTTTTAGATTTTTTGTTGTTGTCGAAGGGATTACATTTAACATACTAATTTGTAATAATCTAGTTTTAATTGATGTCTGATTAACTTAATAGCATATGAAAACTTTGTTCTTGTTCAGGTCCGTTCCCCACTTTATGTTGTTGTTGTCACAAATTATATGTTTATGCTTTGTGTGCCCAGTAACATAGATTTATAATTTTTTTATGTGATTGTATTTTAAATTTTATAGGACATAAAAAATGTGGTACATAGTGTGGGAAATTTGGTGGGTATAAGTCCAACTCTGGTGTTTGACCCCAAAGCCCAACCCCTCTGGACCCTGATGACATTATGACTTGGCCTCTCTGTACTCCCGTATGGAAGTGACTGACCAACCTGCTTCCTCAGGAAATGGCTGTTCTTGCCCCTGCAGTGATGCCTTTTCATTGCACTCTAAAGTCTCCAGGCTATGAGTCCACAGTTCTCCACTAACTTGAGGGTGAGTGGGGACAACATCCCAGTTCTGAGCATCAGAACACTGGTCTCAGGCAATATAATACTGACTTTTATATTTGTCCGTTATATTACCTTTAACAGGAGATTTTTATTTCATCATACGGCCTCAAGTAACTGTCTAGTATCCTTTTATTTCAAACTGAAGGACTCCCTTTAGCATTTCTTATAGGGCAGGTCTAGTGGTAGCAAACTCCCACAGGTTTTATTTATCTGAGAATATTTTAATTTCATCCTCTTTTTTTTTTTTTTTTTTTTTTGAGCACCATTCTGCCGGATATAGAATTCTTGGTTGACAGGCTTTTTCTTTCAGCATTTTATACAGGTAGTACCCGACTTATGATGGGATTCCGTTCCAAGGACTCCATTGTAAGTCGGTTCTGATGTAAGTTGAATATCTTTTTTTTTTTTTTTTTTTTTTTGGTTTTCATTATTATTGCCTTTTATTATTGGTATCTTTACAAATTTGATCTTTATTGGTCGGCATCAGCGTCTAACAATAAAGTTGGAGTCATAACAGCTGTTGGGTGCGTGCACAGTTCAGTTGTCTTATGTCGTTAGAGCTGAACATTACCCAACTTTCCATCTGTTATGACTCTCTACACTGATACCAACACAGACTTCATTGTAGACCAGGCCATAACCTGCTATATGGCAGTGTTTTGATCGGTAAATCATAACACTGAACATCTGAGAGTGAATATCTGAGAATGATAACATCAGCAAATTATGAGCTGCAACATTGTATGTAGTACATACTACTAACGATAAGATGTGCAAAAAAAAAAAAACAGATGGTCGTAAGTGCAGTTTGTTGTAACTCGAATATGTCATAAGTCGGGGACTACCTGTATATGTCATCTCACTGCCTTCTTGCCTTCATGGTTTCTGATGAGAAATCAGCTGATAATCTTCTTGAGGATCCCTTTTACATGAGGAGTCAGTTTTCTCTTGCTGCTTTCAAAGATTCTCCCTTTGGCTTTGGCTTTTGACAGTTTGACTACAATGCATCTCAGGGTGGATGTATTTGAATTTATCCTACTTGGAGTTCATTGAGCTACTTGGATGTGTAGATTCATATCTTTCCAAATTTGGGAAGTTTTCAGCCATTGTGTCGTCAAATATTCTTCCTGTCCCTTTATCTGTCTTCGTCTGGGACTCCCATAATGTGTATGTTGGTCCACTTGATGGTGTCTTACAAGTCGCTTAGGCTCTGTTCACTTTTCTTCACTCTTTTTTCTTTCTGCTTTTCAGACTTGATACTTTCAATTTTTCTTTCTTTGTGTTGAGTCTTTCTTTTATCTGCTTACATCTGATGTGGAACCCCTCTAATGAATTTTTCATTTTAGTTATTGTACTTTTTAGCTCTAGGATTTCTGTTTGGTTTCTTTTTATAATTTCTGTCTCTTTATTGATATTCTCATTTTGCTCGTACATTGTTTTCCTTTAGTTTTCTGTCCATATTTTTGTTTAGCTCTTTGAGTATATTTAAGACAGTTGTTTTACAGTCCTTATTTAATAAGTCTAATGTATGGGATTCATCAGGGACAATTTTTGTCACTGTTTTGCTCCTTTGAATGGGCCATTCTTTCCTATTTCTCTGTATGCCTAGTGATTTGTTATTGTTGAAAACAAGACATTTGAATATTATAATGTGTTAACTCTGAGAATCAGATTCTCCCCCTCCTCAAGGTTCGCTGTTGTTATTTTAATTGTTGAAGGCTGCAGTCCATTGGTTCAGAGACTTTTCCAAACTATTTTTGCAAAGACTGTATTCCTTGTTATGTGTGGTCATTGAAGTCTCTGTTCTTTTAGCTTGTGTTCAGCTACTGTTTTGACAGCAGTTTCGTTAAAGCCAGAAGTTAAAGGAAAAAAAAAAAAACAATAATTTTTAAAAAAAACAGAAAAAAGCTACCTGTCCTTTTTCTTCAGATTGGCCCTGTGCTGGAGCACTTCTTTAATACTTAGCCATGCTTACACAGAGCCTAAAGATCAGCCTCAGATGAAAGCTTAGGGCTTTCTCAGGTCCTTTCCGAGCATGCATCTAGTTCTGGGCATGTGTGTGGCTTTCTAAGTTTCCCTGTATACCCTAATGCTTTTGAATGCCCTGATTTCCAAAGAAACTCTCTCCCTGGCTTTTCCTCCCTGTCCTTAGGCAGTCTTTTGTATGTCTTTTGTATGTCTTTTGTATGTCACACTCTTTTGTGCCAGGCAGCTACAGATTGTCTACCTTACAGTGTTTTGGACAATGCCTTCCACTTTTCCGCCTACCCTGTGTGAGTTCCAAGACAGATGAATCAGACGAGTGCCTTGCTTCAGTTCTTTAGGGAGCCACCTGACAGATTAGAACAGAGAAACTCAATAATTTGTGAATAAGGTCTGCTCTGCTCCCTCTGGAACAAGGGACCAGGGTCCCACACTGAGAACATGAGCCACCATCTTCAAGCTGACCCCTAAACCAGGGAGGGGGTAGGACATAGGCAAATAAAAAAGCCACAAAACTTTCCTAGTAGTTTGAACTTGCCTTTTTCTTGATCCAGCATTCACTTGGTTGCTGTAAACCTTTGGCTGTTCCCAGAGTTCTGACAAAGTTGGTTTGGTTCTGCCAGTTTTTGCTTATTTTTTTTTTTTTTTTTTGATGTTTCTGTGGGGGACAGGAGCAGAGAGCTTCGTACTCCGCCATCTTGCTGACATCACTCCTGCCTGGTCAGTTTTGATTGGAATGGAGGAGAGGGCAGGACTGGGTAAAGTCTATTTAAGGTTGTCTTTGTAGGAGGACAGGCCTCAGTGGGTGGGGGAGGGGCACTGGATAGAAACTCGGTGGAGCTGAGAAGTGGCCTTTAGGGAGAGGAAGGGGCACTGGCAGAGGGTAGGGTGGGAGCACAGATGAGAGAGAGTAATGCGAACAGGAGTCCAGCTTCACCTCCTTCCACAGGCCATGCTAAATGGGGGCAGTGCTCCTCCAAGGAGAAAGGACTGTGAGCTGGAGGTTGTCTGGCCCTGGAGAGGTGATGAGGGTGAAGGGAAGCTCAGAGACACTGTTGGAGGAATAAGAAGACTTCTAGAGATAGTCAGAAAACTGATTGGTTCCTGGGTCGGAGGTCGGAGTTCTGGGCCTGAGACCACTGTTTTGATGCTCAGAGCCAGGATGTTGTCCCCACTCCCAAAGGATAACTGTAGACTCATGGCCAAGAGACTTTAGAATGCAAAGAAAAGCAGGGGCAACAACAGCTGTTTCCTGGGGAGGCGGGCTGGCTGGCTACTTCCACATGAGGTACACAGAACCAAGTCACAATGTCGTCAGGGGTTGGACTCCAGGGTCTGGCGCCAGGGTCAGACTCACACCCATCAAACTTCCCGCACTAAGCCAGTCAGAATGTAATTTGCTTAATGGAAGCAGGACCACAGATCCAGTGGGGTACTGTGGTCCCAGATCCGTGGACTCCATTCCCTTAAGCCTGTGGACAGGCCTTTCACTTTGGGGAGGTTCTGGCAAATTCTTTCTCTCCAGTTGGAAGTATCCTTAGATGAATTAGCACTTTCCATCAGATTAAAGATAAACCTTATCATTTCCATTTTGGGCTTGGAAGCATTATGCCTTCCCAGGTGATTTCTGCTTAGTAGCCCCACCCCCACCCCTTAGCCCTCAGTCCTTCCTCAGTGCCACCAGCTTGGCCAGCTTCTGAGCTCTCCGTGGTGGCTCTCTCCTAGAGCCACAAGGAACATGAGAGACCATCTTGTTCACCCCCTCGTTTTTTAGGGAAACTGAGACCCAGGCAGCCAGCGACTCCCAAAAAGCCACAGTGCAAACTGGTTAAAGATCCAGGCCTCCTCCCGTGGACAGTGTGAGGCCCCTGGTGCGAGCTGCCAGCGTCGTCACTTCTCCATGTCTCCTTCCCCAGGTGACAGCCTGCTGATGGTGAAGAACCCACCCCCGGCCCCGCCGCAGCCCCAGCCCCAGCCGCAGCCGCAACAGCCGAGCCTCCCCCCAGCCCCTGTGGCTGAGGGTGCGGGTGGCCCCCCGAGCCGGGGTGCGGGTGGGGGGCTAGAGGGCGGCTTCCCGGCGCTGCCGGGGGAGC